GAGTATATAACAAAAAGTAGGAAAATAATGGGCGAAATCCGCAAAAAGTAGGAAAGTGGATTCAAGCAGAAAATAGGATAGGTAACCAGAGCGATACGTATTTCTGCTGGTTGGCTTCATCAGGCCCGAAATGATTGCACATACCTAGGCAACTACAAAAGTAGATACGCATGCCCACACACCCGGCTACGGGTGTAACCTGAGGAAACGAAGATGAAGAGGGTAAAAACAATACACAAAGTCCCCAACAAGAGCCAACCTACACATTGCACTATAATAGGGCTAGAGGACCTCGAATTTTCAATGAGACATCTAACCACAACCACGTTGCCGGCTATAGCCACTTGCTGCACATCATACGTTACGTTAGAAGGGATGAACTGTACACCGCGACCGTGATTTTAATGAGAGCGAGTAGTTCGATGGCTAGTTTTAAAGGTATCTGGAAGAGAGGCGAAAGAACTGAAGCAAGCTGCAATGCACATATTTTCAGTATAATAGCAGGAATCCAGTCAGGGCCAGAACTTTTGTTGGCGTTGGGCGACTCTCATCAAAAACAACGAACGTTGTGCAAAAAAATTCTGCTAAGTACCCGTGCTTAAAAAGTATTCGAAAAATGAGGTCAGACATGTGATTTATTTTAGGTACTCCATCAAACCTAGAAAATATTAAAATAAGCTTTTACCGAAACGATACTCCTGATATTCAAATCTTTCTTTCAAATATCGGCTGCTAGTGTGGTGTAGCTCATTCTGGGCGTCCTGTTTTCAATGAGGGTCATTTGGCGACCGTTGTCGAGTCATAACAACATATGGTACTAGTAGCTATCTGAATGCCGACCCTGTGATCATCAGAACGTTTGGTTTTAGCAAGGCGGTGCGGCGTTACTTGCAGTACGACCCATGAAACCATGGTTTTATTCCGACAATAATTCGTCGAGCAGTTAACCTCTTATTTCAGTCAGATAAGTTTGTGTAAGGGAATACGACTGAGGAATCAGAAATAAGCCTTGCTCATGTTGGCTGAATAAAATATGCTTGCTTTCCGTTCATGTCACCACAACCAACCATATACAACGTTGTTTCATACTACAAGTCTAGTCGTTAAAAACTGAAGCGGATTGCCTTTGTTGATTGGTATCCAAAGCTCTCTCACCTCGAAGCTTCCCAGATTTGCTAGTCGTTCTATCCCAGGTTTGAAAACCAACACTGTCACAGGATTAAGATATACTTCTACCTATTTTTAAAAGCACAAACTAATATATTAGCATATCTGCGACGCCAGCGTCCCGGTTAATACATTAAGAGTCACTAACTTCCTCGGCAACAAGCAATTAGCAGAGTTTTGCTATTTATTTTGATGCGGCGCTGAAAACAATGGTCCCGGGGTTCCGGCAGAAATTTCAAACTCCAGCTCGTAACAAGCGTCTTCATGGTTTGACTCCCTTTTTGTTTTTGGTAGCGCCGAGTAATTGTTTTCCAGAGGGAAAACTGGTATTCATAAATCGGTCATGACTGGGACCAAGTGAGCTTTTGTATGGGCTCATAAAATTGTTTTCTCTCGGAAATAGACTGGACGGCGTATCGTCAACAGCGTCCGAAGTTTTTATGCTTGTGGAGAAACCAGGCTGATCACACAGCCACACAAAGAATATAATGGTGACTAACTGAGACCATCATATTCCTATGTATTTTTCGACGCTAAATCGGAATCCGATATCACAAAAGTTCCTAAACGTCTAGAATTCACCCTTAGGTTGAAAAGCTATCTCTATGAAGCGTGAAAATTTAGTTGCTAGATGCTGCAACGTGTATACCCATGTATTCCTCAATTCTGAATATGAATTTGTGGTTAAGAATTTACCTTCGGAAAAAATACCCATAGATAGGAGAAAATTAAGTTTCATATGGCACATGCTGGAGCGTGGTATTCCAATATACTTTTCAACACTGGATCCGAATTTGGGGCCAACAAAAATTTTACACCTGTAGAATTCACTTCCGGGACTAAAAACCATCTCTAAAGAGCGCTTGAAAATTCATTTTAGGATTCCAGATCGTAAAGCATGGTACTTCCATGTATATTTCGACACTGAATGCGGATTTGCGGCCAAAAACGTCCCTACACCCATAGGGGTCACCCTCGAGCACAAAAATGTCCCTGTGGGGTCAACGAAAACTTTACACTTCAAATTAACCCCGGAACCAAAAGCTACCCTGACAATTTATACTTCATTTCACGTACGTATGACCCAGCCCTAGCCTTGTCGTAACTATCGGGCTCTAGGGCTCAGCAGTGAAAATCCACTTCACTACACAACGACTTAGCATCCATTACTCGTAACTTAATTTTGACACATCATTACAGGTGGGTTTGACGTCAGGGATGAATTCAAAGAGGTGTTTTTTTTTTAGCTTAAATCAGTGTTGAAGAATACATAGGTTAAGCATATGACAAGCGAAACTCAAATGCCACACCCCTAGGTCTAGCTTTTAGGCTTAGGGTAAACTCTAGGGGTGTAGGAGTCATTCAGAAACCCATGTTCACGCCTCCCAGCAGTAGTTGTTGGGGTCGCGGGGGAACTCTAGGGGTGTAGGGGTATTTACGATCATAAATTTGAGTTCAGCATAGAAAAATACGTAGCATTACCGTGACTGAATAGCTGACATCCAAAACTCTCACTCCTAGGCTTAGTTTTTGGGCCCAGGGTCGAATTGTAACCATCTATAATGTTTTCTGATCCCGGATTTGGATCTAGCGTCAAAAAGTACGCAGGAATATCATGGTCTGTCTCAGGGATCTCGACTTTGATTTTTTTGTGGGGCTGTGTTATAGACCCTGAGCTCACCGTCCCTCCGAGTAATGGTTATGCCTGAGTGCTGGAAATTTTTCAGGTACGGTTCATAGCATGTTAGGCATGATAACGGCAACTTGGCAGGTCGCAGCCATTGCTTAAGGCTTGAGATTTCAACATGACAGCTCGGGCGTTGCTAAGTGGAAAAACATAAGCGCTAGGCAATTACAACGGTGCTAAGTACCTGCCATACAAGTCGAAGGAGGATGTTTCCAAAACATTGTCCAAGCGTACCAAGACTCCTCGGCTTATTCTAAGACCATTCTGCCTCTAAATACCGCTTCGTTTTGGAGATACAGGCCCTTTAAGAACACCACTGGTAACTGGTTTTTCTTAAATAACGTTTGAACAATATTGTATAAGTCAATGAAGTTTTGAAAATATGGTAGCTAATCACGGTGCACATCGTAAGCCGGGCAACACTAACACATTATTGCTATTTTTACACTTTGGTTTCGATAGAATAGACCGTTTTTGAGAAAAGGTCTTATTTCGGTACTATATATTTTATCTGTTATGATATTTACGACGATATGCTGGCTTCGCCATTTTGAGTAAACAATAATTTTGATCACAAATACGTAATCAGCGACCAGAAAAATGCTCGGATATGAACTTTTCTATAGCTTTGTCAAGCTCTAGTCTCTTTACCAGGTTCTTAGGGATTGACTGCATTGCAGGCTGATTGTCTGTTTTTCCAGATGTAAGTTTTTATCGAAAGCAGGCAAGGTCACATTTTCTCAGATAAGAGATGGAGCTTTCCAAGATATTTGCGCTTGATCCATTATCATGCAGGGTGTAATAAAATTATCAATATTGTATAGAGCTAGTCCACACGAACATATAAGGCCTGCACGAGTTTCTATACTATCAAAATTTGATTCGATTATACGATGTTGTCAGAAAGTCATTTAAAAAGAACCGTTTTCCAGCAACCTCCTGAGTTTGAGTGGCGTGTTTTGGAAATATCCCGTATACGGTTCAAATTACACACCTTTAGACTCGGTTGGCAGGTACTTAGCAGCGTTGCAATCGCCTGACAACCATAGTTTTCTACTTAGGAATGCACCAATAAAATGTCAAAGATCATGATAAGATGTCAATCTTTATACTACAGCTTTAATTTTTTTTCCATTCTAAAATATTAAAAACTATAGAAACAACAGCTGTGGTATGCTGGTTGTTAATACCGTACTTAATATTTTACGGATGATGTCTAATGAAATATCTATATTCTAAGCAAAATCGTTACCCGAAGGTTGCTTGAGCTCACAGCTTATTACGATTTAACGTGGACGCTTCCTGGTTTTATTGAAACATTTACAGGAAATGGAATGTAATAATGCGATAGAATTTGCTTTTTGTGAAAAGTAAAATATAACAAAGTCGATGCTCGCATAGAGCTCAAGTTTTAAGTCTACACCTGCTACCTGAGAGCTTTGATTCCATCTTATTGATTCTAGTTGGGCACTTTGTAACAAATTATGTACAATCGGATTGTTTCCACTCTCAATAAGGGTACAATTTCATCAGCTCATTTTAAGAAAAAAATTAAAGTGCACAAATGGGGATATGTGTTTTATAACAACTTAAATCCCAGTCCTCAAACAACCCAAGCTATATCTACCTCCTCATATTTCCAACTTACATGGTGTATATTTCTGAGAATGACATTAAATTCTGAAAAAACAGTTACCTAACTTCAAAATAGCAGTCTGCACAACAACAAGCTTCAATTCAAAGTGGAAGATAATTATTCGTGGATAAGTCTGCATAAGCTTTCTGCTAAAGCTTGAAGATTCGGAAACTGTGTTATTTCTTACTGAAACGTATGTGCATGATATATCCGAATAAGATACAAACATGAAACGTTGTAATGCGTCGTATTCAAATGGATACAACAAGGAAATGGAAGCCTTTACAAAAGCGTAGTGGCGTTCTCCTTTATCAAAATCAATCAATTCAAAGCATCCTGCATACCAATCTGGGACACACTCATATGCTCAGTACATCCAATGGGAATAACCAGAGTTTCGTTCTCGGAATGATCTAAGGGATAATGGTAGCTCTTATATGCGTTAAAAAGAGACAGACATAGGATATTGTCAAGCCACACTTTAGCGCAGTACCGTGGGTAACTACTTACTGAAAAGTGAGTCCTTCTTGTCTTCTATAGCATCTATTTCTCCGAATATCTCATCAAGAAACCGGGGAGAGTAACGCCCTCTTTCTGTAACTTCATCGTCAAAGTCTAGCTCAAACGTTGTGGATTTTAAGAACCTTTCGACCTGTAAAAGTTTTAGTAAAATAGAAAAAAATAATAATAAAGACGGAGATGAGCCAAATACGAGTATATTAAGTAATGGGGAACAATATTGTGCCTATCTTATGTCTGTAGTCGTACGCTTGAATATATGCTGCAGAATGGAAGATAGTAGCTGACACATCAGACTCACTGCCTTTGAATATGGCGGGATCCGCGCTCAGCGCCTCTGCTGATACAAAGGCACGATGCGTAAGCAGTGTCGTTCGATGGGTTGTGCTACTCCCTCTGATTTTGGTCCCGAACAAAGGTAGCGCGAATCTCAAAGCAGTATTACATACCTTTCTCTTTGCAAATTTAACAAGCTGGTCCCACTCTGATTCGTCAGCTCGTGGGCTCTCAGAGAATTCGTATGGCTCTTGTACAATCTGCCTGAGCTGACCTTCTGGCATCCTCTTGATCTTCGCATTCTCGCTCAGGTGATATTGTGGCTGGATTCATGAAAACATTAATTGAAATATTACCATTAATATGAAAAAAATATTCCATTTTCGGTAGTAATCTCTGTACCGAAAATTTACTTCCTTTGCCAGACCTACTGGCAAAGGAAGTACTGTATTCGTGAAAAATTTCAAGGTATCAGGTTTTTTGGCTCTTACAGACTTTGTTCGGAAAGTAATAGGACTGAGTCGATTTAAAAAAATGTATTGAGCCAATCGTTACAATTCTTTGAAAACTCTCAAAATAGGCTCCTTCTGCGTCGATGCAGCGCTGCCAGCGCGATTTACAAGCATTGAAGGCGTCACGGAAGGCATTCTCCGGAATAGCCTTGAGAGCCGCGGTGCATGCTGCTTGGATCCCCTCTGTCGTCTCAAAATGCTTGCCTTTCATCAGCCTTTTCAGGCGAGGAAACAAAAAAGTCCCGGGGGGCCACATCTGGGCTGTAGGGCGGCTGCGGAAGCGTTGGGATGCCGGCCTTGGTCTCGTAGCTGTTCACAAGAAAGGCGGTGTGAGCCGGGGCGTTGTCGTGGTGCAACTTCCAGTCGGCTGAGATGTCTTGTCGGACCCGAGTGACCCTTCGTTTGAGTCTCCTGAGCACTTCCACGTAAGACTTGGCGTTGACGATTTGTCCAGGAGGAACAAATTCATGGTGGACGATGCCTTTGATGTCAAAAAAACAATAAGCATCGTTTTTACTTTGGATTTGCTCATTCTTCCCTTTTTTGGGCGAGGAGACGCCGTCGTGTGCCACTCGGAAGATTGCCTCTTTGTCTCGGGATCATACTCAAAGATCCACGACCCGTCACCTGTGATTACGTTATTCAAAAATTGGGCGTCACTTTCACACATGTTCAAATTTTCTTGGCACAGTTCCACTTGCCGCAATTTCTGGTCGTCAGTGAGCACTTTTGGGACCATCTTCGCGTACACCTTGCGCATGTCAAATGCTGTGTCACAATGTCATGAACCACAGATTTTGGTAAATTTAACATCTGGGCAATTAAACGAGTACTTAGTCGATGGTCTGAGTTCAAAACTTTGCGCACACGAGTCACATTATCGGTGTTTGTCGAAGGTCTTCCAGCACGGTTTTCATCAGCGACCTCTTCCCGGCCCTCCAAAAAGGCCTGGTACCACCGAAACACACCACTTCTTGCTGAAGCAACACCTGGGTAAGCCTGCTTGATCATATCAAACGTCTCTGTCGCAGATTTACCGAGTTTCACGCAGAATTTAATTGCGTACCTCTGTTCTAACGAACGCTGCATTTTTGGCTTGCACTACTCACAGAAACACGTCGCGGGAAAATGCCTGTCCTGACTCTCCGAGTGCTCTGAGACAACTGACCAGCCGCTCATTCGTTAGCTAGGAACGCCCTCTACCGAATCCAGTCGGTGCGCGCACGCTCCGAAGTACAGTCATGGCAGAAAAAAATGAGTCCTATTACTTTCCGGACAAACCCTGTATATTACTGGAATTACGAAAAATCAAGTTACTCATTTCCGTCGGCCTAATTGTCCATCAATCTTTGGTTTCTCCGGGATTCGGAAATCATTGCTCCGATTTTAATGCAATTTTGGCATAGAGTCACTAGGAATGTCCAAAAGGTTTTGGCGCAAAATTCATTGGCTTGAATTTTAACAAACACAAAATAATATCAGGTTGTCTTCCGAAACAAAAGTTTGCTTACTGACTTTAGTGTCAGTTGAACTTTATTTACTTTGATGTTTCCGCTTTAAGATGTCGTATAAATTAGAAATAAGAGAAAGCTGGTTGGGTGACCGAAGCTAAAGTTAGCTCGCTTTCCAAATTGCTTCAGCTTGTCCACGAACATCATGCTAATGACCATATCACGTTTTGGCCAGACCTAGCTTCATGTCACTACTCAAGAGATTCTCAAAACAATTAAGACGGCGAATTTACGAAAACTGAGAGAAGTTGGTTTGGATTCCGTCATGGACCTCATGAGAGAAAATCGAAGAAAGTTGCGTCTGGTACAGCAGAATGGGCCTCTCCACATGATTCGATAGTATACTTTAGTTAAGTATTGAGTTGTAATTTATGATAACTAGTTAGTGTTTAAATGAATTTCTTCATTAAAAAAAATCCGATTAATATTTTGTGCCAAAACTTTTAGGACATACGTTACTAGGCCAAGGATGAACAAGCATCGGTTTTGAAAATCGACCTTGAGGCAGTGGAGCAGCCAGCAGAACATCGAAAATGAAGTCCAGCAACACTTTTTTTACTCTTGCTCATTTCTGAGAACATTTTTCAGGGGTGAAAAGCCTCAATTTTTTGTGTCGAGTAGGCGAGGTTACTAACCGCAACGGGCGGGGACCGCGGACTAATTGTATGGGCCTATTAGGCTGAATTTGTCCAGTCTATTCCTCGTTATATTTCTCCGCAGTACATCGAATGAACCAACAACATGTTCGAGCTGCAATATTTCGTTTTACATGTCACAGATTTCCAAGTATTTTCAAGTACATCCAGAGTCATTTTCTAAATCAAACAACTGACGGAGATGTTTGGATAACATGTTCAATATCCGTCCTTGTGTCCTTGTCTAGAGATGTTAGCAGTTTACACAAGTCTCGTGTGAAATATGGCAGATACCGATAAGGTATCTGTGTATTCGAAAGAGTTTGAGTATGAGTATGAGACGTAAAGTGGAACATATGGTACATTCTATTTGGAGGTATTGTCTGAAGCAGTTCCTATAGTTCAAGCTTTACACGTAACATTTGCTAATAGGAATTAACATGTTTCGATACGATATAGCACAATCCTTATGACAAATAGATTCTTTATCATTCTGAACAAAAGTTCAAATATGTAGAAGATTTGTAAGTTACGGAGTGCGCAGGTATAGTAATTTCGCAACATTATGTGTCCTCGCTAGGAATATCTTCGTTATTCCACTAACCATTCAGAGAATAGTAGTTTAGTCAAACTATTTAGTTTTTCGTACCGAATTCCATGGAATCAATTTATTCCAGATGCTTAATCACTATGTAATTTCAAAACCACTGATACAGGGATCCCGCGATTTTTGTTATGGAGAACAACATACTCCAGTGTGAGCCATACACACAATACAGATACTGTATATTTATATGACACTGATGACGTAAAGTACCAGAAATACCAGAAATAACCAAAACTACCGTTGTTCAGGAACAGGATTTAGTTCATATTCATATTTAATAGCAGAATAAACGTTTGCGGTTCTCATTGTTTTTTTTTTGAAAAAAAGTTAAAAACGTGACTGAACAATGACGAGCGGTCAGAGGTTGGGTTGTAGTTGGATTGAAAGTCATCGGACACGGAACACATTGATTATAGTTGCAGACATGTAGCTCGCAAGCTGCTGATACTATGATAAAATCTTTCGCCTATTTGAACTATGCTCACAATGATCCAGAAGGCATCATACTATAGTTTCAGCCAGTGTGATGATTTAATAAAGCCGAAAAATGAGTCTAAAGCATCTAGCAGGTAAGTCAACACACCATCAACATACCTATTACTATTCGAACGGGCAAAGGATCGTACTGGCATTTGTTTGTAAATCAATTTCTTTGAATTTGCTACAATTGTGCATCCTCATTCTCGGATACCGTCGATAGTGGAATTTTGTGATAACCTGCGCACCCACCTCAGATACTATTGACACTCAAAGCTTCCGCCCATGGAAACTTTTGATCAAAATAATATAGAGCCAATTTGATGAAAATCTACTTTCCATGAGAACCCTATCGAGTTGATACAATCAAAATCACAATTGTATTAGCTACTGAGTTTCTAGTAAATGGCTAGATCACAAAAAGATGTTGGTGACCTTTGTAGGCTCATACTTTTTTGAATATCCTGTTATTTGCGCTCCGTAACTTGGAAACCGTTAATACTACAACTACATACTTAATTTTGAACCAATCTGACGGGAAGCGATGAGGAATTTATCATCCCTTTTGAGGCCAGTCCAGTTTCCAACTTGCTTTCTGGCAGTAAGCAGACCTTTTTATTGATGCCAACGATAACTTTTCCCCACAGACCTAGCCAAGTTGCTCATAGTGTACCATTCTCTCAAGCCAAATTATTCAAAATCATTAGCTACTATTTAAGGACAGTAAGTAATTGGCCTCTTGATAAGGAAAACGTTGATATCAGGCATCCACTTCAACAAAAAACTTCATTGCAGTTTATTAGCTAAAGCGAGCATCAAATGGCAGCAATATTACGTACATGACCTAGCAGCCATTGCACTCATTGTTTTCTGGATGAGCTGGATGGAGAATACTGCGCATTACAAACGGTATTGTACTTCGGAAACTTCCATACAATGATTGCGTTCGTATCGTAAATAGGCAAATAAACCGTCCGCAGTTAATTTTATATTTTCTCTAAGTCGAGTGTAATTGAAGGCGCGCGCTAATTCAAGGAAGTTAATGAGTTTGATAAATCGAGCTGCTTTGTGACTTTAACGGCAGGTGCAATCATAAAAACGATAGTTTCGTTTTTGTGGAAATGTTCTATATCCATTATCTAGAGTCTCTGAAGCTTTAATTTGTATTTAGTTCCCTAATGTCAAAGGGTTTTGACATGTGTTCTTGAATTCGTCTTATCAGTGCGAGTGATACTGACTATGCTTAAACTTTATAAACTTCTACCGTGGATTTTCTGTTCCACGGGCCCAAATAGCGTGATAGATTTTTACCTTTGAGGTGGCCTCAGATTTGTCTTGATAGTGCTGAATCTTCATTATTTCGAGTTACTACAGTGGGGTTGTTTGATTTTTAATAAATGAAATAGTAAATACGTGTTTGAAAACAAACTTTGATTTAGATGATAATAAAACAACCTAAGAATTTAAAAATAATTTTTACCGATTGGTAATATTTAAGCGATGTTCCTTAATTTCAAATTTTCATATCAATGGGTGTATCGTCATTGTTCCAACTGCCGTCAAAACGTAACACCCTTTTATTTGAAAAATCAAGGTCAAGGAGCTTCATTATTGCATAAACATTTCCAACTCGAAAAAAATATTTTTTAACTTTTAGTTTTAGGTTGCTTTTGAAAAATTAATTTTTTTCAATGTATTATTTGTTTTACCTTTTAGTGTTCATGATATCAAGCAAATAATTTGGTAATTTCGATATGATTTTCATACATTTTATTAGTAAGGCGCCATAAGGCTTCTCACCTTACCTGTTCTACAAAATTCCGATAGATACAAACTATATAATGATAAATCGATATAAGAGTCACATTGTTTGTTATGTTTCTCTTTTCAAGCTCTTTAATTTGATACCTTTATCATAGGGGTGAGTATGGTAATTAAAAGTCATATTTGGACGGTCGCCATATTGAATTTAGAAAGACGACTTTGATAATTGCGTTTGTTTCATCAAACCCTTTCATTTGATTTCCACATCATAGGGTAGGCTATGGAAAGTTATATCTCCATTTCTCTATGGCCACCATATTGGACTTCATTTTGTATTGTTACAAAGTTTCAGCTCAATTGGTTGTTACCTGGTGTAAAATTCAGATCCAAGATTTGTCCCACACATATACATACAAACAAACAGTTGAATTTAAATAAACAGTTGTAATAAAAATTTACTTGTTATGTACTTCAAGCGTAATCTCGTGCTCAACATTTTTTGTGTCTGGATATTGTTCAAGATAGATTTAACCATGATTGCCAACTTTTTATTTTTTACGGTACACTATGCAAGTGCCGATTTTTAATAAAAAGTTGAAAAGCTCATAATGTGGGTGTGCTATTCTTTAGAAGAATTTGTTTCATAACAACGAAATGACTGGTAGCTGCACATATTTTCTTCTTGCACCGTCTATATTTTTTGCTGTTTTGTGTATACATTTGTATTTTATAACCGCACGGTGTGCACGTTACAAAGTCTTTTTCCTTTAAGTTTTGCATGTCTATTTTATTCATAATGTGTACTTTGTAATAAGAGTAAATAAAGTGTGCCTAAGTTTCAATAACTTGTGGCTACACTGTTGCTCTATGGATACAAAAAGGTGTATATGCAGATATGGTATTATGGAAATTGGACCCATATAGCTGCCGATATTAATTTGATGAAGATACTATATTGATTAACATACCTTGTTGAAAAATTCTTCAAATGAGTTAAGTGCTTGCTTCTTGAAACATTCAGCCAGTTCTCCGTTGAGGCACGCGGCATTGGTCCTAGCAATATACGGATCAGTGTCTGGTCCAGTTCCATACCCAATCCAGTCAAGAAGGTTTCGTCCTAGATGACCAACACAAGTGTGAAATTACTTTAACTTCCTTCACGATAGATATATCATTGGCATAGGTAAATACCACAAGAAACTGACAATTGTTTACTTATGTTGTGTATAAGTAGTAAAAGGGTTTGCCTGATATTTGGTATTTAAGTAGTATTAAAACGCGTTCTTTAGCAGTCTTCGTGTTGAAAACACAGTAGTCACACGAAAAAAGTTCATTATTCCTTTGCGAAGGACTCCATATCGCCCTGAATAGGGTTGAGCTGGTTCTATAAAACTCCGACAAGACGCATAATTCTTACTGTGGAGTGAGAGCTAAAGAGAACTTTAACGAAGTATTTTTTTCGTAGTCCTCGGTGGCATCAATGGATAGAGAGAAATACTGTTTTGCCACAAAGGGACTGAAGATACGCGGCGACAGATATAACTCGACACCTGAACATACTACTAACAATGATAGGGATGAGTCTCGATATTTTAGCTAATAACCACGAATCAATATACTATTACGATTAAGTTGGGAATGAAGCGTAATGCACAAAAACCGACTATACTCTGTTCAGCTATGCGCGGAAATACGCGCCAAAGCGTGGTGAAATAAGATATCTTGTAATTGAGTAAAAGGAGGCTGTCAGAAAGATCTCAAACCACCGCTCACCTGCATAAAGCCAAAGCAGCACTTGTGATGTTGGAAAGCATTGTTGGATGGGGATCAGGTGTCGACGTTAATTTAAGGATGCAAGGAATTGACACGTGCAATTTCTATCAAGTATAAGTCAGGGTTGCACTTAGTACAGGTGTGCTTGAAGAAAGCCTATATGGTTGATGGAAGGTTTTCATGTTGTTTTCTGTCGGAACAACTTTGGAAAATGCTCGGCAAAGAGCCCTATCATATCAGGGTGGCAAATTTGCAACGAAAAATGCTAGCGATGCTACAGAAAAAACCAATCACAGACATATACAGAGTTTGTCCGGAAAGTAATAGGACTCATTTTCTTCCGCCATGACTGCACTTCGGAGGGTGCGCGCACCGACTGGATTCGGTAGAGGGCGTTCCTAGCTAACGAATGAGCGGCTGGTCAGTTGTCTCCGAGCACTTGGAGAGTCAGGACAGGTATTTTTGCGCGACGTGTTTCTGTGAGTGGTGCAAGCCGAAAATGCAGCGTTCGTTAGAGCAGAAACTGGGTAAATCTGCGACAGATACGTTTGATATGATCACGCAGGCATACCCAGGTCTTGCTTTAGCAAGAAGTGATGCGTTTCGGTGGCACCAGGCCTTTTTGGAGGGCCGGGAAGAGGTCGCTGATGAAGACCGTGCTGGAAGACCTTCGACTTCGACAAACACCAATAATGTGACTCCTGTGAGCAAATTTTTGAACTCACACCATCGACTAAGTATTCGTTTAATTGCCCAGATGTTAAATTAACCAAATCTGTGGTTCATGAAATTGTGACACAGCATTTGAGCATTCGCAAGGTATGCGCGAGGATGGTCCCAAAAGTGCTCACTGACGACCAGAAATTACGGCGCGTGGAAGTGTGCCAAGAAAATTTGAACATGTGTGAAAGTGACCCCCAATTTTTGAATAACATAATCCCAGGTGACGTGGATCTTTGAGTATGATCCCGAGACAAAGAGGCAATCTTCCGAGTTTCACACGACGGCGTCTCCTCGCCCAAAAAAGGGAAGAATGAGCAAATCCCTAGTGAAAATGATGCTCATTGTCTTTTTTGACATCAAAGGCATCGTCCACCATGGATTTGTTCCTCCTGGACAAACCGTCAACGCCAAGTTTCACGTGGAAGTGCTCAGGAGACTCAACCTGAAGGGTCAATCGGGTCCGACAAGACATCGCAGCCGACTGGAAGTTGCACCACGACAACGCCCCGGCTCACACCGCCATTCTTGTGAACAGCTACCTGACCAAGGCCGGCATCCCAATGCTTCCGCAGCCACCCTACAGCCCAGATGTGGCCTCGCTGGACTTTTTTTGTTTCCTCGCCTGAAAAGGCCGATGAAAGGCAAGCATTTTGAGACGACAGGGGGGGTCCAAGCAGCATGCATTGCGGCTCTCAGGGCTATTCCGGAGAATGCCTTCCGTGACGCCTTCAATGCTTGGAAATCGCGCTGGCAGCGCTGCATCGACGCAGAAGGAGCCTACTTTGAAAGTTTTTAAAGAATTGTAACAATTGGCTCAATAATTTTTTTTAAATCGACTCAGTCCTATTATTTTCCGGACAAACCCTATATGTTCACTTAGGCCGTCAGTAGTCAGGGTATCGAAGGAGAGGACAACACAATGTCTTGCAACCCACCAGAAGCACTATAGGTGGAATTTCTGCGGCCTTGGTACCCTCCTTTACCCCTAGAGGAGGCTCTATAAGGTCACGCGAGCAGAACAGATCTGCGAGTATCTGCCTTACGACCATCAGGTGATTGCACAAACATAATGAGGTCGCCACTGCCTGATGACTAGCACAAATAGACTAATACTACGAGTACCCTCTTTCGGATAGCCCGATGAAAACTGACTTAGGCGAAGGAGCAGGCGGGTATCATGCGGATGACCTAGCCGCTATGTATTGTAAATTACCTCATAAATAAAATAACTGTTAAATGATCGACTGAATGCGTGAAATGTAATGGATGCAGCAAATTCTTACAATGGAGAAAAATCTAACATGTATAGTAGTTAGGGTGATTTTTTTATGCGAACACAGTAAGGCAACTTTTGAATCTCAGAAATTTGAGAACATGTTGTTCTGTGGTACAGTCTGACAGTGATCCCCAAATTATGAACAACTGTGCCGGAACGATCATTTAAGAGATAAAAGCTACTCAAGTGAACATCCAAGAACACGTTCAGTAAAGACCCTAAAGAATATCCAGAAACCGGTACATTGAGAGGTGACCGTGGGCAATTAGCCACATAGCAAGAGTAGCAAATACTACGGGCACCGTACATTTGAAACGACCCAAGCCTTATGACTATGAAAAGGTTTACATAGAAGCGTGTAAATGTCTTTTGAAATCAAATAATATACTTACACCGAAAGGGTTGGTATCAACATGCAACTATATATCTCGTAATATGAAATTTCAGTACATCCATTAAAGTGAGCGCTAGACACCGCACAAAACATGTGCTGCATCACACAGCATGCAAGTTGGCAGCACTGCAAAACTAATGTGGGAATGCCCTGCTACTGTCATCGAACAATCCCCAATCCCCAATATCATCGAGCTAGTCGTAATAATCCCACCAGTTTAAATTGGGCCGGCATCACACTATAAAGGTTCTTTATAAAGTTTCCTTTTATAAAAGTTGGCCTGATAAAGCAGTGCAAGTGACTTATTCAGTTATTTTTTTAATACAATCCTATGTAGATGGAAGATTGTTTTATGTAGAGAATGAGAGAAAATATAACCTAGAATCAAATGCGCGTGGGGTAAGATACTTCACTTCATTAATTTAAATTATGCATATTCCAAATAGTTTAGTAAAGCTCTACCTTGCTTACACCAGTCGTTTTTTTCTCTCCGTCGCTGTAGATCCAAGAAGCATATAGATTTGTAACTAGAATTTAACAAGCCTTTGCTAGATAATTCCTTAGAATCTTGCTTTTAAAACGTAGAAATTGCCCTGTGCATTTACTTGTCTCTCATGATCACAAAATGCAGGAGTGAATGTTCTTTCTCACATTATGTGTTGAAATTGAGTTTCGGAACAGGACGACCTATGAACGTCTCAATAACCTCACATTGTTGTATATTGAATATGATAAGGGTGACGTTGATTCTAATTTTTACAAAATAAATCTAGAAAAGTGAGTCTCTTTGACTTAAGGTTTTATAATATCAATAAAGCCAAGGACCCTTGATATAATTGCTACACACCCCGGTCTGTAATTAATAATTAAAAGCGTATAATGGGAAGCATGGGCAAACAATATAATACATCCGAAAAGCTGAATTCAACTTACCATTGAATAAGAGCTGAATGAAACTTAAAAAAATAGACAGAAAACGAATCGGTATTTCACGCGCTCGAATGCAAGCGCTTTCTGTGGATACTACTCTAGCGTGCTTTCTTCTTTTCTTCTGTCTTCAGCTGGATAACGGTTTTCAGCGAACCATGAGCAAGATACCGGCTTTACGTCCCGCCACCAGAGGTGTAGCATTTCTGGTTAAAGGAGCGATGACGTACAGATTGCAGATATGTCGTAAACGAAGTGGCATCGAAAATAGCCAAAAACAAGCAGTTTGTAGAACAAGGGACATAATTGTGACTGTATTTTTGCTTGGCGATACACTTGACGCGATATTTATTCATATTTTAGTCGTAGTGGTAGATATTTACACTTGAGCTTAGGACTTTATTTTTGAGAAATTGCACATATCGAATAATCTATTTATTCTGAGGCTTAATTGTAAATTGTCCACAGCTCATAGAATAGGTATGTAATATAAAAGAAATGTTGATAAGATTACGGAAATTGAATGCGACTTGCAATCTCCGATAGAATGTACAAGTAGATTTTAACATCTTCCCTAACCCTAACTTACTTTTGTAGATTTGACAGTTGTATTTTTCTCTGTAACGGATAATGGTGCTACAAATGCGGGAATGATAGTGGTAAAGAATCACAGCTTCGATCTTAAGGCATGTTAAATCATGCCGCTGGAATCAGAACCAGTACCTTTAATTTTGAAACAACTCTAAGAAACAGATAATTTACGAAACTCAAACTGACTAAGAAACTGCGTACTGCCTACGCCACTGATCCTTAGATGGTGCACTCACCTTGCCTATCAGCATCTTCGGTAGCCGGTCCTTGGAACTGCACGTTCTGCAAAGCAACCAATGACAGTCCAGAGCACAAAAATACCCATTTAGCATGCATCCAACATCTTCGGTAAACAGTATTCAACACCAAAGTACTTTCAACAGTCTTGCTCGTGCTAATTTACACCCAAGAAGTCATCCGTTAACTGTACTCGCTGAATCACGTACGCCACACGGTTACCACGCTCCTTATTCGAGGTTGAAGTTTCAAGCAGATGGAGTGCAAGTGGCTTGAAATAAATTGTCATTGGGTCAGTAGTGATTATTATAAGGTAACAGGTTCAGGATGGCGTACCTGACTTGATCCATCCCTTTATCTCAGAAGTCAGTGGGTATACAAAAAAATGGTAAACAATAAAGTTTCTTTGGATCAGCGTTATATTTCAATGTATCTTTGTTTATACTCGTAGTATATTCAGTATTTTTAGTTTTGTTAGATAGGGCATCAACTTCATTTCTACTTTGTACGCCACTGACGAGGAGTATTCTAATCGTGAAGAATTTCGAAAATGAGGCTATATTTCCGTGAGTTTGTCTGTCTGTCCGTCTGCCTGTCGTCTGTCTGTCTTTTTGCTAATCCTTATCCAGTCAAATTGGAAAGAACCACAAGGATCTGGAAATAAATATTCACACAAGGTTTCCTATACGACAAGGACGAAAGTGCTTTGTAGCTTTTGAAAATCTGCCTAGGTGCGGCAGAGCTACGAGCAAAAAATGGAAAAAGCAAAAATCCCTGAAACTTCCTTTTTTGTTGCAGAGGTTCTTGATCATTTTAGAAATTTTTTTCTAGGTGTTTAATATTGGGTGCGGAGAAGGTGGAAGAGATTATATGTCAATTTCTGGTCTATATTAATACGCTTGCAGCCCCGGTTACGCTAAGCACCTACTGGATATATATTAATACGATTCCAGCCCTCGCTATTCTAAGCAGTTAAAATTTTCTTGTAGACTTGAAAATGAATCAAAACTACTTTCAGGTAATGCGTCCCTAATGCTACCTTCATTTCTTTTGACAGGGCGATCACAACTTTGTCCAGTGGGTGGAGACTACATACTAATTCTATAGGCCCATTTGACTGACTTGATCCATTCAATTTCATCATTTCACATGTTTGTAGCGAAGCTTTTTCTCTGAGGGAGCAACTTCAAATATAGTCGTGTGAGTTTATAAAAAAAATCCGATACCGTATAATTATACTAGCATATATGCGAATATACTATCTGGACTGAGGCCCGGTTCTTTAATCGCTAGTTAACTAGCTGCCACTGATAAGTTGAATAGCAGTTGCCTATAAACTCGTTTTTCATGTCCTGGTTAACTAACGTTATCTGCACATTCTGTGACGCTAGGTGTTTGTCTCTCCTGTCGTCCGTGACAACTCGTGTCACCATCAAAGCCAAAAAGTTTGGATATTATGGTTTAGAGACAACTTACTGTTCAGCCGATAGATGGTCTTCTGATTGACATTAGCTATCGTTTTAGTTAGTTAACCACCGGTCAGCAATTAAATTATAGTTCACCTGCAATTGACCTAACCGGGCCTAAGTGTTAAAACCCTGAGTAAAGCATATGGAACGTTGTTGCGCACAAACTTTATATATTTTGTTATCGATAACCAAACAGATACACATATATATCCTCATAAAGCAGGCTTTATCTTACAAATTCTCATTGAGGGTGTAGGACATATATACATGGTGTCCTGAAATTAATGGGTAATATTGCAGATGCATATATGTCACGACTTACTATATGGAATTTTTTTTTATTCAGCAACCATTTTGGACTAGGTTTGTTTTAGAACACTCAGAGCTAGGCATTCCATCCTGGCCGCGAAAACTATACCAAAGTCTAAACGTTAATGTAAATCCGCTCACACATTTGGCTTTAACACCCTGTTTAGGGGAGAGAGTTGGTTGGCTATTTCCTTCCTTTAAATTTAAATTTTTTTAGTTGCATCCCCTTAATTTCATTTTACTCGTATTTGCATTTGTTTCTTGAAGACAATAAGAAGCCAGCAGTACTTATTCAGTTGATTAATTTTGCCAGTACCATTTACACACATATAAAATTATCAGTCTTCATACTATTGGTAAATTTTATATAAATTTTCCTTCAGTATCAATCTTGTCAAAACAGGAAGAAATGAAAATTGCCCAATTAGTTTATTGAAGTTTCAGATGATTCTGATCATTTTTGAAAAAAGTTTGACGGTAAAAAGATGTGGAATGGAGGATTGTAGAAAAGCAGTGGGAGAGTATTGCAATGTTGTGATGTTAGTATATATTCTAATCTTCTTAATTCTACGAAGTTGTCAGACAAATTTCACACATCATAGATTTTGCCGCACATTTGCCCTAGAAAATGTTTTAAGCACATGAATGGAAAACTAGCTGGTATCAACTCCCACTATAACCGGAAGTTCCACTACTCTATAAATGTCTTAGTCGGGATGATCCCATCGGTTTCACCAAAACCCCAATTTTGTATAGTTGTATAACGCCTACCTTCCGGGTAATCGATTGCTGCCCTTTTTCGTGGAACGTATTTCTGTCTGATCATATTAAATGTGTTAATATACCATAGCTGGGAGTGAAACAAATTATTTGCATAACTCGCATAACTCATTCTAGTCCCTGTGCATTGTAACTCCTGGCATTATGCCCTTCAGAATATAAAAGCCTCGACCAATACTTGTTCACTAAAGTATGTAATGTACAGTTACAGAAAATGTCGTATACCGTATCAAGATTTGCGTTGAAGCATTGTAAAAGACCTTTATGTTAAAGGTCCATTATTGTAATGCGTATTACTTGACTTTTATTTTGGCCGAATTACCATGGAAAAAAGGAAGTAATACCTTGCTCAACTAATAGTATTCCACTATTCCTGTACTTCTTTGCAGGCCCTTCAAACTATCACTTATCACTCACTGATACTAAAAAATATAAAACAGTTCAGCTTGCACCTTCTATGGTGCACTGAAGAATGGACGTGAACCAAACCTGCCTCAAGTATTATATGATATAAAGCTCTGCGAGGGAGGTGCTGCAACGTAACATTATTACATTTTCGGGATACCCCAAGTTAAGTAACGCTGAGAGGGGCAATAGACTGGAGAAAGTGATCGGCGGCTTGCGCTTGGCATTGTGTTTTTCTCGGTAATAAACTTGTAGATCCGCGTCTTGCGATATTCCAAAACGGTTTGTTTAATTGAACGCCAGATGATGAATAAGTATAGCGCCATAGGTACTGTGAAGCAAGGACTGAAAGATTCCCATTTACTGATCCTGTGGTTGTGTCGTCTCCTTTATATTCTGACAATTTAATAAAACCAGAGATGCTACTGTTTTCTTCTCATTTTAGTTCATGTACTATCTCCGTTGGCTGTCATCCATGTTACCTTGATCTTTGAGAGATTCCTCAATCATATTTGGCTCCACGGGTAATGTGTCCTATATATTGTAATTCTACTGTGTTGATGTAAGCAGTAGTTTCCTTTCCTATCGATTTTCTACCCTTATCGACCCCTGTAATTTTTAGTCAACATTTCAAGCGACTTTTACATACAGAGCAGAGCGTATTTAGAGTACACGCCTCTACTCCGCATCGAACAACCGAGAAAACACACCATTTGAGCATTCGTAAACTCAAATTCAAACAGAGACTCTGGCTGAATGTCACAAAATAATAGCCTCTTATTGTAGCTGTTGAAATGGAGTACTTTTCGACTTTTCACTTTTTATTCGCTCAAAAGCTCACAAAGCTTAACTAACTTTATGCTTCGGGCTTTTTGTAGTCTGATCCTAATTTATTTTGTGCTATCATTCGATTTACCGGCGTTTATTACCCGAAAGTCATAGTGACTCTTTCAATCTGCTGATTTTTCACATACACGTTGGCATTGTCAACGTACTGTCTGTTGATTATTATGAATTTTGAGTTCATGTTCAGTGACAACCCTACCAATAGGTAGGTAGTCAATAAACTTACTTGCAGCTTACTTGCGACATTTCCAATAAACGCTAGGGTAATCGTCAACTTTTATTGCAAAAGGTATTGCGTCGTCAGTATAGCACAAAGGGATCCCATTTATGTTTGACCTCCAAGGGTGAAAAGCAAGGTGTTCGGCGCTTTTATTGGCAAAATCGTAATGCAAGCAAGGATATGACAAGCCGTCAGAGCTATTAGATAGAGATACATGTATATATCCAATACTGATGTCTCGTGGATTTCATTCAAGGAGGTGTCATCCATCATGGTGATGCTTTTCAAGCAAACCTTGATATGACATATTTGTACTATCCAAGTTTTACCATTTTTATTTCATCATATAAGATCTTTTACGTAATAACCCTGCGGGAGACTGGTGCTGATTCTGGTCTGTCACATCTGTCATGGATTTAGAAGCGAATTCATATGAACTGGTCAATGTGGAGCAATAATGTATAGTTTCTATTGTCTTAGTTTCATGTTGTGAAAGTCTGTTAACCTCAAGCAAAACATTAAAATTTTCAAATGTGGAGCACAACTAATTTGTAGTGATACAAATATTGGTCCAGACCATTTTGAGAAATAGCCCATTCTTCAGCAAGTCACCAAAGCGTTATTAATAACGTTCATTACCGGAACCGTTCTGGACCAATGTCATTCTTATGACAACCGCAACCCGTGCTGTACGGGTATTAACATATAAAACGTCAAAAAACACAAATAAAATGTGATCTTGCAGACTAGGTAGTTTTTAGGGTGCAAATAGTTCATTCCACGCTTTATCGCTATGACCGATGTGAGCGTCCATCCATGGAGCCGATTAGTCTGTAGTTTTCATTCCTGAGAAGAAAGTTGGTTGAATAGCAAGTTCGGATCTGGATGATTATGTATATAAAATCAGTGATATTTGCTGTGTGAGAAAATCATTACTGAATATGTTGCCCACGAATTATATCTATTAGCTGTGTTCGACGGGTTATCTATATGTTGTCCTTTCTGAAAACATGTTATGTTCAAAGTTATAAATTACGATTTTTCTCGTTTCTTTGAGTATCATAAACTTTGAGGAGCACCACGAGAAATCATCGCCGCGCCCGCGTTGTGTGCAATCAAGCAACATCACATAAAAATTAGTAATGACGCATCACACTTCAAATATTTTCGCAATGCGCTGATTCGTATTTTCTATTGACATCGCAAAATAAATTTCTATAAAATTTAGATGACTGGAAGTAAAAAATAATGCAATACAACAAAGTGTATTTGACAAAAGAAGCTAGCTATGGTATACAACTAATAGACCTCCATCTCTGAAGCATATTTTACATCACATCAGAGCCAACTACAAAACGAGTTCACAGCGTGTCCATCAGCTGGTGCTAAGTTAACAGCTTGCAGAAAAACTTACATAATGTCACAAAAAACCAATACAGTGTCAAAAGAATTGACATAATGTCACTTTTCAAGATACGTAATACTCGTGCGGAACCGCATGCGAAACTGCCAAATGCCAAATGTCACACGTCTCTGTAAATGACAGTATTTAAAATTACAATTGAATGTATGCCATAATAAAAATATTTGTGATCTACATGCCACATCTCTTTGAATCCATCCAAAGTCTTGCTAACTCAATTCCAACATAGTCTGAAAAGGAAGTTCATTTTGCTTAAGATTAAAAGGTTACATTATTGGAGTAGGAAATAATTCAACCACCTGATCGGGATATGCACAACTATAGTAGTCACCGTTCTTGGCAGGTCAAAGTAAGACTACCAGAATCCCTTTATACATGTATATCCCCATCTCCCTCATACATGTACATGCAACCTACACTTGTATGTGAACGTTTGTTCGATAAGCTCAAAGACACACGTTTTTAAGTTGTGTCTTCGTCTCGAGAGGTTTGTCGTTACGTATGAGTGCCCTTCAATCATATTTGTCAGAGTAACAACTTACTTAATATCGGCGTGCTATTCCAGTTGTCCTGTAACCAATCTTCAATATAAAATTGTACAATGCCCTAGAATATGATCAATGGAGAAGGCCGACAGCTCGTACTAAATTTATTAGAGTTCCAGGAAGAGAATGAAAACAGCGGTCCCCTGTTACAAACTTTATGTGTACTGGAGAGCGTAGCAGATGCGCTGAAGATTAGTCTGCACAGTGTTGCGCCCATGGTAGTGACGTTGATGACGTAGCCTCCAAGAACGATGACTACAACTATACCATCCTCGTGTATCTCCGTCTCTATGATATGTGGGCATAGTATCCCGCAGTGCATATTATTTTATGTGAAAACGAAATCAGACACTCCTTATAATTATAATTCTGATCGACCTATTTTAATAGAAATTGTAGATAACAATTACTGTGATATTTTACGTAGTGATTAAAAAAATGGTGGTAATATTTTTGAGACAGGAAGTTTACCCAAAACTATAGATGCTAAAATGATCTACTAAGATCTCAGTATACACAAACGTTTTCGCCAGTGGCGTATAGTTTGCTAAATTTTTACCCCTAAAGGAGAAATGAAATTATTTTTGCTCTACTGTTATAAGTGCATTTTGTAAAAGGGGTCAGTTTCAAATAAATCACTTCAATCGAGAATATTTTGAAAAATAGTTGAGTTGTGTACTAGGGGTAAAATTCGTATAAAAAACTCCAACACCTTCTACTTCAAATTTACGCCTTTTGTCTCGGTAATTGGATATTCAAGGGGCTATGTTTATATGTATACGCGTTTATGTTACTTTTAAATGCACTTCCAGCTTTAGAGATATTGTCATTATTCCTCGACCAGCCTGTATTACACCAGATTTAATACCATAACAGCACTACTGCTTCTGGGAATTTCCAAATGTTTCCGAATGAGTTGCTAACTGTAAATCTAGGATTTTTCATTTTGCAATGCTTGTGAACTAGATTGTAAAAATTTCTTAGAAATCCATAATCATGCAGGCTAATAAGCTATTCATTAGCTTTTTGGACGTGTGGTACCACAGCAATACAAGGAGCACCATGCTTGATTTTATTTATTGATTTTGTCCAAAAAAGACATCATTCAATTTAAACAATATATGAATTAAAACGTTTCTGAAGGGTGGGAGGTGGAAATTTCAAGCTCTTTTAAAAATATTTTGTCGGATAGATATGAATAAAGTTATTCTCACACTAGCCGCCAAAGCAACCGTGATCTCCATTATATGTGTTCTCACAGCTCCAGGGTATAACCAACTGAATCACACAGTCTTTTATGGTGTTTCAAATGAATAATCATAATTTACTACTATGCTGTTATAAACTGGAGCGCATAACAATGTCTCCTCCAACAATTTTCGTTTTTTATCCAGTTGGTTTAAATTTAACTTAATACATCTATAACTTACAAGGGTAATGAAACAAACAAAAACAATGAATATGCAGCAAATTAGGAGATTTGATGTTCATCAATGAAAAACTATAGCAGCACTGAACTTTTGGCAAAAATAAATAAAACATATTCGTCCCAATAATAGGATGGTTTGACAGATTTGCTGATTGAGTAAAAAAGTTACACGGGCATACTGATGACCAAACTGTTCAGAGCTTCAGGCTGACGTCATCTAATGTCGCATTCACACATCTGGGTCAACGTTGACTCCACACGAAACATGAACTTTTTAAATAAAAAAAAATAGTTACAACTGCAGCGAATTTCCAAAACTAACAGCAATATTTCTTGAAGCGCAGCTGTGTGGCCTGGAAAGAGCTTGTATAAAGTCAGGGGCTTAAGATTAATCTACTCTTCGACAGGAATAAATAGAGAAGCATACCTGGATGCTTTCGAAGCAAGCTATGGAAGCTTCTTAATGGTTTGAAGAGAGAATAACCGAATCCTTCGACGTGCCTCCTTTTTCACCGTACATGAATCCTATCGAAAACCTCTTGAGAATTTTAGCTCGACGTGTGCATGAAGACAAGATAAACGTTTCCATAAATATCAT